TCAGCAACAATGAGGCGAGGCACTAAGTAACTCAGTGAAACCCTGTCTCTAAATAAAATACAAAATAGGGCTGGGGATGTGGCTCAGTGATGAAGTTCCCCTGAGTTCAATCCCTGGTACTTGGAAAATAAAAGGCAGGGGTAAGCATTTTCCTTTATCATTTGTATATTCCCAAAGCAAACTTCTTGAAAACTAGACTGGTGTTACATGATCACTTTGAATTCCTGAAGATCTTGTATAATGCTGATCATAAGTGTTTCAACTTCTCCAAGGATGAACTGCAACTTTTTGCAAAAGTGTGCAAGCTTGGTATCTTAGATCTTTTCTGAAAGGAAGGGCAGGAAAAAAAAATGATATCAGATTGCATTTCCCCAATTTGCATACCCATTAAATTCTTGGTGCCTTGTAAGTTATTTCATGCTTTTTTGGACCTTTCAGTCTACTATAACAAAACATCAAAAATTGGTAGCTTTTATAAACAACAGAGCATTATATTGGGTATGATGGTGCACACCTTAAACCCAGCAACGAACGCAGGAGGCTGAGGTAGGAGGTTACAAATTTGACACTGGTCTTGACAATTTAGCGAGATGGTCTGGGGGAAAAAAGCCTGGGGATGTAGCTCAGTGGTAAAGCACCCCTGGCTTTATTCCTAGTAACACAAACACAAAAACATAAATTTATTTTTCAGAGTTTTGAAGGCCAGAAGTCATTATCAAGTCATCAGCAAGTTCAGTGGTGGTGGGGGGGCAGCAAATTCTCTTCCTGGTTCATAAATGGCACTTTCCCAATGGGTCCTCACAACAATGGAAGGGACCAACAAAATCATTTGGGCCTGTTTCATAAGGGCACCAATCCTATCCATGTGGACTCCACCCTGTTGACCTAACCACCTCCCATGGGCTCCATCCCCAAGACCATCATCACATTGGGGGTTCAGATTTCAACTTATGAATTTCAAGGGGACACACTTGAGTCCATTGCCTTCTGGGACTTTTCTCCCAATGATTTCATCTCAGTCCACCTCCTCTACCTTTAATCTTTCCCTCTTTTGTGGAGGAGACATCTTAAATTTCCTCAGGTAGAGGGGATTAGTCTATTCCTCAGGTTAATGGTGAGCTGAGTGGGGGATGCTGGCTTTAGGGGCAAGGGGGAAAATAAAAACAACTAAGGAAAGTAGAAAAAAGAAATAGAAAATGGATCGGTCTTTCAAAACTACTTTCCTTGTAAAGGTTTAAGCAGAGAGACCTCCTTATCATGCTGGTTAAAACTGGCTTGGTTTGGAATTTGGCTATTTTATCTTTCTCTTAATTTTTTGGAAGTTCAGATCAACAACTTAGTTTTTTTCTTGGTGATGTAGAATGTCATCAGGAGTAACTCCATTTTCCCCACATGGCCTCCTCTAAATTTTATTTAACAAATTTGTTAATGCTCCCTCTAAAAGTCCAGGGTAAAACAGAATTAATATCTCCCACCCCCCAAGTTGCAACACATGGGGTTTTTATACTTTCTATCCAGGATAAACACAAGTCCTTGTCACTCAACATTTTTTTTTTTTTTCACTTAGACATGCCACTTTAGACTGCTGTCCATAAAAATCCTTTTTTTTTTTTTTTGTACCAGAGCTTGAACCAAGGGGTGCTTAACCATTGAGCTACATCCCTACCCCTTCTTATTTTTTTAAATTTTGAGACACGGTCTCATTAAGTTGTTTAGGGTCTTTTTTTTTATTAATTWATTTATTTATTATTTTTTATTTTTTGTTTAGGGTCTTACTAAGTTGCTGAGGCTGGCTTCGAACTGGCAATCCTCCTGCTTACATGCACCATGCCTGGCTCAAGATTCTTGATGGGAAGGAATTTTGCTTCTGCCTGTTATTTTGGACTACCACATTAGTTACTACATACAACTACATGTCACCATAAACAGGAATTGATTGATGCCTTGAGATAATTTTGATTCATCTCCTTTCCCCACCTCTGTGTATGAGCGAGTGCAGCTGTGGGGTGGGTTCTTTGTGTAGGATTAGGAAATTGCAGTTTTTGAAATTAACCAGATGTTTTTATTTTCAAAGGAAAAGTTCACACCTAGTGAAATATTTGTTTACAAGCTTCACAACAAAACAAAAGATTATGAGAAAACTTTCAAGGGACTTGGGTCATAGAAACCAACTCAACACCACGGCTTTCCCAATTTCATAGCCCAGGGGATGTGGCAGAGACAAAGCATCACTCACTGTAAAAACTCATAAACTAAGGTTACAATGTCTAATAAACAACAGTTATAATCTGGAAAGATTCCTGCTTTGACTTTGGTTTCTATCCATTTTTTCCAACAGTCTGTGCTGTAAAATACACTTAAAAAATGTGTTTTAAAAATCATGTCCTAAAATTAGTGTTTTAGAAACTTTAGGAATACTTGTTCGGAGAATGTTGGCGCAACAAAAACAAAACAACCATGTCTCAAGAACCGAAAGTGAAATCAGTTCTAACTTTTTGTTTCTGTTAGTGGATAATCACGGGAGCCACAAGCTTTAGTGTTCCTAGTCGTGCTTAAGTTTTAAAGAAAAGTCTTTTCCCCCCTTTTCTGTTCTTTCTTTTCTTTCTTTCTTTTCTTTCTTTTTTTTTTTTTTTAAAGAACCAAGCGGTTTGAGTGAGTGGCACCTACTCGAGGGCACCTAAGCTGTTTCGGGGCGCTCCTGCAGGAGACTGCGCCAGCTCCAGCACCCAGTGCGTCGCCGCCCAGCCGCGCTGGGCAAGGGCGGTTTCCCGGAAGGTCAAGCGCGCTGGAGCCCGGGGGCGCTGCGCTTGGCTGGTGGACGCTGGTGAGTGGGGCGCCCAGTCCCTGGCTGCTAATCCCTGCTACCAGCAGCCCCTGTGGGAAGGSAGGCGGGTTCCACCGCAGCGACGCGCGGGAATTGGGGAGAGCCAGGGTTGGGATCCCCGCACTTTGGGTGTTTGGGGCCACGTAAACCCCTGCGGCGCACCTGCCTCGAAGGCCATTTAGCCTTCTCTGCGCGGTCGGGCCCTCAGACCCGGGGTCTGTTTGCTTTGTTTCATTCGGGAAATTGAAACTTAAAATGATTTATGTCTCCCTACTGTTTTCTTGGAGGGTCTCCAGGAGGAGTTCTTAGGAAAATGGATTTCTATTCTTCTTGGCAGACGCARAGTTCTGCACCCATGCCTCACTTTTCAGAACTGGCAAGGTTTTCTTGTAGGAGGCATCCAAAGGAGAATACTATTGTAAAATCAAAACTATAGGGGGCCATTATTTGGATTAAGCTCATGCACTGGGCCCCAAGAGACCAGACTAAAAAATCAATATGGAGTAACCCATGCTAAAGTTCCATGTCACTGAAGTAAAACTAAGTTGTAACTGTCCTTCTGAGAAAGATAACAGCCAAGTTTCCTAAGCAGGCTAGTTTCAATTTGCATGATAATGACTTCCCTCTGATTTAATTCATACAAAAAAAAAAAAAAAAAAAGTAACCTGAAATAGCCTGTTGGTAACCAAGCAGTTATTTTTCTATTGTTCGGATTTCCTGTCTGTCCAAGCCTTACAAAGAAAGTAACATTGCAATGACCAATCTACTTTTTGTACAAACTTCCCCCCCTTCTGCTTTTTAAAACTTTGTCTGCAAAACCAACTTCTACTCAGCCCATGGGAACATTTAAATCTATCTATGAAATAAAGTGTTGTGGGATTCTCCAATAGTAAAATAAAGCCAAGTAAGAGCTTTAAACTGTTGTACTTTTGTCCTTTGACACTATGTTCCAAGTATATACAACATGCATACATTGTATTTCTTCTTCTTGCAGATGGGCCCGAATATGCAAAGATTCCATTCAAAACCACTATGCAACACAGTGATATGATATTTTAGGGAAACGAGATGATGGTGGTTTGTATTGGTTTTTATTTCACCACCATAATGAATTACATGGATTTAGTGGTTTATCCCCCTCCCTCCTTTTAATTTTAGAATTCTGTAGGTTAGAAGTCCTATGAAGGTCTCACTGGGCTAAAGCCAAAGTATTGGCAGGGCTGCTTTCCTTTTCTGGAGGCTCTTGGGACCAATTTCCTTTCTGAGTTCTAGAATCTGCCCACCTCACTTGACTCAGTTGCTCTTTTTCCATCTTCAAAGCCAGCAACTTTTGCATCTCTGGCCATTCTTCAGTCCTCACATCTCACTGACTCTTCTGTCTTCCTCTTTTACTTTTAAGGACTCTCTGGATCACACTGGTTCCCAGARATAATTCCAGAAGACTTCCATATTTTAAAGACAGCTGATTGGCAACCTGAATTTAATCTGCAGCCTTAAGTCTCCTTTGCAATGTAATCTAACATTTTTACATTTGGGGATTAAGATGTGGATATTGAAAGGGTCATTATTCTGCCCCACCACATGATTGCGCAAAAGGAAAGTATTACCACACATCTGACTCGCTTCAAAGAGGGATATTATTCAGGTGGTGAACATGCCTAAGGAGTTGGGGGGACCATTTACATTGAGAACCTTTAATACATTGTAAAAATGATTTTTTTTTAGGGGGGGACACTTTACTGGGGATTGGACCCGGGAGCATGTTACCACTGAACAATCAATATTCCCTGTCCTTTTAATTTTATTTTGTTTTTAAAATTTGAGACAGGGTCTGAATTGCTGAGGCTAGCTTTGAATTTGTGAACCTCCTGCCTCAGCCTCCAAAATTGCTGGGATTACAGGCATGCACCACCAACAATAATAATTTAAGAAAGCACTTAAATAACAGTGCAGTTTCTGTCTTTTGGAAATATAATAAAAGAACTTCACATGCATTCGAGGTCTGTGCAGAACAAATATGCAAGATACCATACACTTCCATAAATTGAATATTTTCATTGTGTAAAGTTGTGCTTTGAATGGATTGCAAGAGAGAGTGAACATGATTCCTGTCCTCAGTCACAGAAAAAGACACAGATACAAAAATAAATTCAAGTACTCCTAACCAAAAAATGAAGTGGGGGAGGGGATGTAATATTTTGGAGGAATCAGACAAGTCTTTAAGAACTTTGGGGAGATTTGGAATGGACCTTGAACAGCAGAATTTCTTTGGGTTGAACTTAATTAAGGTTGGGAGGGGTGGAAGGAGGTGATATAGTGGGGTACAGGAGACAGAGGAGGGATCCTCCTTCAAGGAACCCTCAAATGTGGTTGAGGAGTTGTTTAAATATGGTAAATAAGTTGGGGTCAGATTGTGTTAGACTTTGGGTGAACACCATTAGGAAGATTCTGCAATTGTTTATACAACAGTGATATGTGTATATATATATATATATATATATATATATATATATATATATATATATATTTGTGTGTGTGTGTCTGTAGTTTTAAAAAATGTATATATTTTTTCATCTTAGACCATCTCAAACTTGCAGAAAATTTTGAAGTACAGTAGAACAATTTTTGTTTGCCCTGAATTATTTGTAAATAAATTTCCAACTTGATGATCTATCACTGTGAAATACTTGGGCATAGATTTCCTACCAAAAAAATGTGCTTTTATATAACCACAATATAGTCATCATAATCATGAAATTAATAGTGATATTTCTACCATCTAATCATCATATTTAATTCAGACATCCCAGTTGTCCCAATATCAGAATCATGGACTGCGTATTTAGTTGTGATATTCTTTGGTTTCCTTTAGTCTGGAAGTTTCTCTGTTTTTCCTTGATTTTCATGAACTTGACACTTTTATTTAAGAGAACAGGCCAGTTGTATTGTAGAATATGCCTAAACTTGAATTTTTTTTTTTTTTTTTTTTGTCTTAGATTCAGAAGATGGCATCTTTGGCAGGAATATCATCAAAATCACACTATGACTTCAGGGCATCTATTTCATGTTACATGATATTGATTTATCACATTATTTAAATTATCTCAGTATGGTGGCTTTTGCCAGGCTTTTCTGCTGTGAGTTACTTGTTTTTTCCCCTTTGAAAGTAGTACGTATTTTGTGGGGAAGTATTTTGAAACTAATTAAATATTTCTGTCTTCACCAAAATTTCATTTTTAAAATTTATTTACTTAGGTTTCATCTCACAGTTTTGTTTTTTACTCAGTGGCTTTAATCATGACTACCATTATTTGTCTTAATCCCTAATTTATTCCCAGATTTGGTCAGTGAAAACCAACTAAAGCTGGATCCTGTGTCCTTTTGACATGTCCTCATCATTCTTTAAGCATTTCCTTGCTTTTTGGCATCACAAGATGTCCCAGGCACATTTTGAAGTTTTTCTGTTCCAATCCCTGGAGCAGTCATTTCTCCAAAGAGCCTTGGCTCCTCTGAGTGGAGAATAGCATTAGAAATCAAAGTCTGGGTGCCTGGCAGATGTCACCATAATGAGATGATCAAAGTAAATAGGGGGATTAATCAAAGTCATGTAACGTGTAATAGGGTAAACTGGGATCACAGAGTGACAGAAGATATTCCAGGCTTATCTTATATATTTCCTGTCCTAGGACTAAAATCGACCATTGATTTAAGGAACTTTGGTTCATTTTATTGGAGATAGTATTAGAAACCAAGATTAGAGTGCTATGTGACCCTCTATTTTTCTTATATTCCTGTATTTGCACTGGGTAAACTAGGGCAAGACTAATTTTTTTGCTAGTCTTCTCTTAAAAAAAAAAAGCTACACACACAGCGTCTAAATATATATATCTGAGGATTGAATCCTGGGGTGCTCTATCAATGACCCAGACCTTTTTATTTTTTATTTTGAATCAGGGTCTTGCTAAACTTAGCTGGCCTTGAATTTAGAATTATCTTGCCTTATTAGCCTCTCTAGTTGCTGAGATTACAGACATGTGCCATGGTGCCCTGCTGTCTTTTATTTTTAAAAAGCAATAATGTTTCTTTTTGAAAATACTAGGAATTTAACTACTTATAGTCTTGGAAAATGATACAGCAGACTGGCTATTAAGGTTCATCTAAAACCAGAAAGACAATCATGATTTTTTTGTATCAAACAATCTAGCAAGTTTTCATCTTAGTAATTGTACAGACTGGTCTTCTTGACTTTTTTTTTTTTTTATACCATTTACTCCTTTGCTAGAGTGACAAAACGTATGCCCCCCCCCCTTTTTTCTGATACTAGGGGTTGAACCCAGGGGAGCTTTATCACTGAGCTACCCCTCTAGCTCTTTTATATTTTTTATTTGAGACAGGGTATCACCAAGTTGCTGGCCTTGAACTTGTGATTTTCCTGCCTTGGCCTCCCAGTGTCATGAATTCCAGGCATGTGCCACCACACCTGATGCCTATAGGCCTTTCCTAATAAAAAATGAAGTTTTTTAAGTGTATAAAAATACATAGACTAGGGCTGGGGATGTGGCTCAAGCGGTAGGATGCTCGCCTGGCATGCGTGCGGCCCAGGTTCGATCCTCAGCATCACATACAAAGATGTTGTGTCTGCTGAAAACTAAAAAATAAATATTAAAAAAAATTCAAAAAAAGAAACACTCCTGAGATTAAAAAAAAAAATACATAGACTAACAAAGGAAACCGATTTTTTTCTTTTCCATTTTTATTGGATTATTATAATTGTACATAACAGTGGGATTCATTGTTACATGTTTGTCACAATGAATAATTTGGCCAATATCATTACCTCCTTTTCTCCCTGGTACCTTTCTTCTACTCTAATGATCTCCCTTTGATTTTCATGAGATCTCCCCACCCCTGCCCCTCTTTTCCTTTTTCTTCTCTAGCTTCCACCTGTGAGAGGAAAATATACTACCCTTGACCTTCTGAGTTTGGCCTATTTGACTTAATATAATGTTCTCAAGTTTGATCCATTTTCCTGAAAATGACACGATTTCGTTCTTCTTTATGGCTGAGTAAAACTCCATTGTGTATATATACCACATTTCTTTCTCTGTTCATGCATTGATGGTCACCTAAGCTGGTTTCATTGTTTGACCATTGTGAATTTTGCTGCATAAACATGGGTATGCATGTATCACTATAGTAGACTGAATTTAACACTTTAGGATAAATACTGAGAAGTAATATAGCTGGGTCATATGGTAGTTCCTTTTAGTCTTTTGAGGAATCTCCATACTGATTGAATTTCAGGGTTGTATAAATTTATAATACCACCAACAGTGTAAAACTGTTCCTTTTTCTCCACAAACTCTTCAGCATTTATTATTGTTTGTATTCTTTTTTTGTTTGTTTGATTGTTTTTGGTACCAGTGTGGAACTCAGGGGTGCTTAACCACTGAACCACATCCCCAGCCCTTTTTATTTTGAAACAGGGCCTTGCTACATTGCTGAGGCTGGCTTTGAACTTATGGTCTTCCTTCCTTAACCTCCCAAGTTGCTGGGATTATAGGTGTTTGCTACTGTGACTAGTTATTGTTTGTATTCTTGATGGCTGCCGTTTTAACTGGGGTGAGATGAAATCTCAGTGTAGTTTTGATTTGCATTTCCCTAATTGTTACTGATGTTGAGCAGTTTGTCATGTATTTGTTGTTCATTGTATTTCTTCTTAGCTCATTTGCCCATTTATTAATTAGGGTACCTGTTTTTATGATAAGTTTTTAAAAAAAATTTTATACCTATTCCGGATATTAATCCTGTCAGAAGCATAACTAGCAAAGATTTTCTCCCGTTCTCTAGGTTCTCTCTTCATATTCTTAATTAAGAAAACCAATTATATTGAAATATGGTTATCAGAATATTTAAACAAACTTTTGATACTCATATGTATTCATATATTACAGTATTTCACAAGATCTATCAGTGAGTTTAATAACTACTGTAGAAGCTGTGTTAAAAACGATATTTCAGTATATTTGCAACAATTATAATATTCTATGAAACTATCTGTACTTTCTACTAGTGACTTTGTTACAGTTGGTATGAACACTACCATAATTGCCTACATTTATACTTGAAAAGAATGTTAATTTTCAGTTAGAGGTTTTAAAAACACATGTAAATTAATTGACCCCAGGGAGAGTTTATTAAAACTCCAAGTGAGATCACCTGTGTAGAGAAAGAATGCATTGGGGGCCTTTAGACTTGGTTTACTTTTGGGAAATACAGTAGAGAGAATTAAATGTTTAAATCAAAACCTTTAGAAAGGTTGGAAGATCAAACTAGTCGTCTTTTAAAATGGAGCATAATATTGTAATTGGAATGTGAACTGTAAGGAATGTTAATACACATTATTTTCTATATATCCTTGAAGGCAAATGATTTTAAGAAATTTTTATATACTTATAGGTGTGAAAATTATTTGAAATGTAGACTCTATAAAAGTTGTTATTTCTTTCTTCTTCACCTTGTATGTGTATGTACTATTTAAAAAGTATTTTAAATTAAATTTCTTCTCCTCCTCCTTCTCCTCCCCCATCCCTTCTCTTTCTCTTCCTTCATTTTTGTGGTGCTAGAGATTGAACCCAGGGCTTGGTGCATGCTAGGCAAGCATTCTACCACTGAGCTACATTCCCAGCCCTGAAAGTTTTTTTTTTTTTTTAATTAGAAAATCATGGAAGCTGATAAAGACAACAATAAACAAGTTCTTAAGGAACATCAGACAAATGAAGAATTGATGAAAGACGACCAAAATGAGGTAAAAAGGAAAATAACTAGATATTAATAAAAAATTTAATTTTTAGTAAAGCACTTTTACATGTCTTTGTCTAATATTACCTTGCATTTTGGAAGCTATTAGGATCCAACATTTTTGGAAATTTTTTGTTGTTTTTTTTTAAGTTTTGTTGTGTTATTTAAGCCTTGTAAGAAGGTTTGTATTTCTAATCTTTTGCTTACAGAGTTTACAACAGAATGTAGCTGCTTTCTCATGCATTCCCTCATTTCTTGGATTTGCACCTGGAAGTTCAAAGATTAATTAGCAATTATCTGATTTAACCAAAGAGGGAGCAGAGGCCCAGGTAGTTTAAGCCTGTTACCCAAAGGCTATGTGTTCGACCTTTTAAGACAGCTGTAGACTATGGGAATCACAGCTAACTTATTTATTTATTTATTTTTAAAAAATATTGCCACAGATTAACAAGTTGAAAGTTTTGGTGTAATTTAAAAGTCATTTAGTAGTCACAAATAGCAAGGAAGCGAACTAGTCTCAATCCCTGCCTCAATTATAAAAATGTCTTTGACTTTGGTCCTGGGTGAAAAGCAGTTTCCTTATTCATATTATAGAGATAGAAAAATTGAAAATGTTAGCAGAATCACTGGTGATAAGGTAAAATATACAACGAAGATATTATTCATGAGAGCACAATTAATTCTGAGAGTATCTATTACCTTTCTTTGTCTTGCTCAGGTGGGGAAATTTAGCATTTTTAATTAATTTGGAAAAATGAGCTCATTTTAAACTCTATGAGTTTTAAACTAATGAGCTCTATTAAACTTTGTGGGTACCATTTGATATTTTTTAGGGATTAATTGATGAAATTACAAAGAAAAATATCCATTTAAAGGAGGAGATTCAAAAGCTTGAAGCCGAGTTACAAGAGGCTGCCGGAGTCTTCCAGGTACTCTATTTTGTGTTTCACATTTTTTATGGACATGTGCTTTAAGAAAAAGTGATGTAATTACACGAAGTTCATTTTAAAAACATTCAGAGCACCAAAACAACGTAAATGTTCTTCCAAAATAGGATAAATTAATAAATCAGGGTATATTCACACACAATTGAATATTGCACAACATTGAGAGTGACCAGACCACAACTACATAAAATAAGATGGATGAATCTCATAAACATGGTGTTGATCAAAAAAGACAGTGGAAGGTTGTTAATTAACGTTTTTTGTTTTGTTTTATTTTGTGGTGGTGAGGTTGAACCCAGGGCCTTGTGCATGTGAGGCAACCACTTTACCAACTGAACTATATCCCCAGCTATTGTTAATCAGCTTTTAATTCTTGTCACCAAAATACCCAACAAGAACAATTTAGAGGAGGGAAAATTTATTTGGGCTCCTAGTTTCAGAGATTTAGAACTTAGTGGGCCAACTCTATGGCTTTGGGCCTGAGGTGAGGCAGAATGTCAGGGCAGAGGGCGTGGTGAAGGAAAGCTGCTTACCTCATGGCAGCCAGGAAGATGAGAGAGGGCAAGGGGCCTCAGGAAGATGCACTCTTCCAGAGCACACCCCAGTGACCCACCTCCTGCAGCCATGCCCCACCTGCCATATGGTTACCACCCAGTCAGTCCATTCAAACTAGGATGGGCTGTTTAGTGACAGCTCTCACAATCCAGTCATTCTTGCATTAACACAGGAGCTTTTGGGAGGGATACCACGTATCCAAACCATAACAAGGGTATACCATTTGTTTCCATTTAAATAAAGCACAAAAACAAGATGTTCAGAATTAGGCCAGTAGTTGCCTTCAGAGGCAGGTAAGACCCTTGTGGAAACCCAGGATGGTTTCTGGGGTGTTGTCATGTTCTGGGTACCAGTCACACAGTGTGTCAGCTTTGTGTGATTTTTATCCTGATATATACTTAGGATTCATACACGTTTCTTTTTGGGTAGTGGGGACTGAACTCAGGGGTACTTTATCACTGAGCTATATCCCTGGCCCTTTTTATTTTGAGGCAAGTTCTCACTGAGCTGTCCAGCTAAGCTTGAACTTTTGATCCTCCTGCTTCAGCCTCCCAATTGAGATGATAGGTGTGTGCCATGGTACCTGGAGGATATATGCACTTTTCTGTTACTTATATACACTTTAATAATACTTACAACCTCCTCCCCCCCAAAAAAATGAACAAGATTTACAAAGTCAAATAAAGTGATAGTTATTACCAATCGCTTTTGGATCAAATACTTGGTCTTCTCACTAAATCCATTTATCATCTTCCTCATCCAAGGTGCTAGTAATTTGACTGAATTTTAGTTTAAAAAGTTGGACTTATATTAATCCTCACCATTTAAATTCTTTCCTAAATTTTCCTATAGTTAAATTAGATGTACCTTTCACTCCTTGTTTCTTCTTAACAGCCCTGATAGTTAGAAAATTAAAACATTATCACTTTGTTGTTGAAATTTGAGTACCTGGAAGTGAAGTTGCCCCTGCTCATGAGATGGGTGAATTTCAGCAGAAGATGTTAGGATTCTGGTTACTTCTCAGACTGGGGCCAGATCAAARACCTTTAGAAACCAGCCAGTCCAGTAGACCCACTTTGCAAGGACCTAAGTTGAAATCAAGAGAGCCTAAGTGAGTTGTTCTCTGTCACAATAGAGACTAGCCAGGACTAGTACTGGGCTTTCTCAGTCACCCTGGAAAGCTCTTGCCTTCTCAGGGTATACTGAGAAACCCCCCTTCCCCCACTTCTGCCCCATATTGTAGGGGTGTGTGTGTGTGTGTGTGTGTGTGTGTTGATGGGGATTGTACCCAGGACTTTGCCCATGATAGGCAGGCAGGGACTGTAACACGTGAGCCATATCCCCAGGTCACCCTTCTCCCCACAGCCCTATTTATTTTATTTTTGAGACAGGGTCTCACTAAGTTTCCCAGGCTGGCATGAAATTTGTGATTCTCCTGCCTCAGCCTTTGGAGTAGACGGGATTACAGGCATGAGCCCCTGTACCCCTGAATACAGATATGCAGATGCAGATTGTCTTGGTTAGCCTATGGTAATCAGATTTATTTTTGGTCCTGGAGATTGGATTTGGGGGGCACTTTACCACTGAACTATACTCTCAGACCTTTTTATTTTGAGACAGCGTCTCTTTAAATTGCGTCAGGCCTTGCTAAATTGTTGAGGTTGGCCTCAAATTTGTGGTACTCCTTCTGAGTAGGTGGGATTATAGGCATGTGCCATGGTACCTAGCCAACAATCAGAAATTTTTACTGAAGTTAGATGTAAAGATTAAAATAAGTGTCAGGTTAGATCAAATGACTCAGTGAATGTGTCTAATCTTTAGTGATACACCTTTTATGCAAAATAACCATGAAAAATAGGAATGTAAAATAACCAGGGGAAATAGAAATGTAAACATTTAACTCATTTGTGCATTTATGTGTGTTGTGTATGTCTGTCAATCCCAGTGATTTTGTTTTTTATTTTTATGATGTGAGGATCCAACCCAGATCCTTGAGCATGATAGGCAAGAGCTCTACTATTGAGCCGAACCAGCCCTTGTTTAATTAATTAATTATTACTGTGCTGGGAATCAAACCCAGGGGTACTTTATTTGTATGTTAGGCAAATCCCCATCATTTTAAATAGTTAATCATAACCACCTAAATTTATCCTTCAGGTTGCAATTCTTCTTCTTCTTCGTCTTCTTTTTTTTTTTTTTTGTTATTGTTTTCCTTTGTAATGCTGGGAATTGAACCCAGGGCCTTATGTATACTAGGCAAGCACTGAGCTACATCCCCAGTTCCTTTAATTCTTGTTGTTAGTATCCCTTAACTTTTTTATAAGTCTATGTTGTGGTAATGTTTAAAAGTTGATAGGTAGGTGTGGGGAAATATGGAATTTAAATGTGATAAATTTCATATCATATGATTCAGTAGTCTTTCATTTTAGATGAAACTCTCTGGGTTTGTCATAAACATAACCACAGTACACCCAGTCCTATATTTCACACTTCTTTGCAGTGAAATTAAACATGTTATCTAATGATTTCCTTGTGAGATAGTGCATTATTGGCACAGTTATTTAGAAGGTCCTTGTCTACATGAATGATGTGGTCTTTAGAGTGGAACACATACCGACCAGTTTAAACATTGACTAGAAAAAGTGGGAGGATTATGTATTTATAATTTCATTTGTGAAATGATATTAAAAGATCAGTATTTGATTACATTACTGAGTACTTGCAGGGGAAAAAGCAATTACTAAAGATGTTAAATAAGTCTACAGTCAATATTCTATGAGGTTCTAAAATCAGTGGAGAATGAATTATTGGCTAACCAAATCTTTTGTCATTGGTGGGACTAAAGTTATTTATTATCTTGATTTTAAGCAAACATTTCTATTTGAATTAGATTAAAGAGGATATTCCAGAGACAAAGATAAAATTCACATCACTAGAGACTCCTGAGGATGTTAGCCAGTTTTCAAACATTTCCTATTCATTTGAAGTGAAATCACAAGTGCCTTATGAGCTACAAAAAGGACAAGCACTTATCACCTTTGAAAAAGAAGAAGGTATGACTACTCTTCCTTTTCTTTTTGAAGAAAAATAAAAATAAAAATCTTTAATAATTAAAAGTAAAACCATTTTTTTCTAATATCTAACTCTATTCTGCCTTTTTGGATGTAGTTTCTTTTTCTCTTTTTTTTTTTTTAAATATGTTCTTTTTAGACATAGATGATAGTAGAGTATATTTTGATATATTTATATACATGGAGTATAACTTATTCTAATTATGATCTTATTGTTGTGGTTGTACATGATGTAGAGTTTCACTGGTCGTGTATCCATATATAAACATAGGAAAGTTATGTCCGATTCATTCTACCATCTTTCTGATTCCCATTCCCCCTCCCTTCCTGCATTCCCCTTTAAGGTATGATTAATCTTAAAAAAATATATATGACCATGTTATCTTTGGAGAGCACTGGAATTTTGACAGGTCTTTCCAGATTTTGAGATAGTGCATTATTGGCACAGTTATTTAGAAGGTCCTTATCTATGTGAATAATGTGGGCTTTAGAATGGAACACTGTACAATACTGACTAGAAAAAGTGAGAGAATTATGTATTTATATGTTATATATTTATTTCTTAGATATTTGGTTATTGTTTACAATGTTTCCATATAATATTTTTTCTCATCCTTGTAGTGACACTCTGAAGCAGATATAATATCCCCATTTTATAGATGAGAAAACTGACTATAAGACATTATGTGTGTTAGTTAGCTTTTCATCACTGTGATAAATACCTGAGAGAAATCCACTTAAAGGAGGAAAGGTTTATTTTGGCTTAAAGCTTTGGAGGTTTCAGTCCACGATCACTTGCCTGTGTAATTTCTCGAGGACCAACATTCCTCTGAGCAGGTTGGCCTTCATTCTGGTATTTGTGAAGTTATAGGGTGGGACCTGGTGGTCTTCAGGGCCATTCAATGTTTATATTCAGAAATTCTAAATCATAACCCCTATCTCCTGACTCCCGGTCCTACCATGGTAGCCTAAAAATAAATGTTGACAGGAAAGACTTTCCAGAAGGTTGGTGAATGCTCAGATGAGGCCCCCTTCCCCAGCCACCACKGCAGCTGAGGAGAGGCCAAGGCCAGGAGCCACATTGGCAGTGGACAGTGGTAGTCGGGATGGAACTGGCAGACATAAGTGAGGATTCTGAGCCAGGTTTCTGCACAGCCTTTACCTGGAAATGCTGGGATTAGGATTTTCTCCAGATAGAGCCACATCGCTGTTTCTACTGTTGACATGGCTCTGAGCCCCTGATCTCCTGGGACAGGGCTACATTTGAACGCAATGAATCAGGAGTTGGCCTTTGACTGTTGGAGTCATAGAAGTTGAGACATAAAGTGGTCTCTCTCCACTGTGTCATATCACCAGATGTTGGGAGTTTCTTGGGGAGGGGGGYGTGAATGGGAAAGAGGATCATCTGAGTATTACTTCATTAATGTTTTGTGTAACTGTCGTCTGTTGCCCTTAGCAAAAAAAAAAAAAAAAAATTATCCAAGTTGTAAAGTCATGTTGTGGTACAGTGAGTCTGAATTCCCACAAGACAACGCCCTGCCTTCTAGTCCTGTTTCTCTCTCCCTCCAGCTGTGCTATCTGGCTATCATAAACATAGTGAGGTTTATGAGACAGAGAATGAACATCTCTTGTCTTCATGATACATTAGAACAAGCAGTTCCAAATTGTAACAACTGAAGTGTTCTAAACTCATGCCCCACAATTAAAAAAAGAAATACCTACTCACATACATTTTAAATTTGCATATAGTTGCTCTTTGGATTTTTAATGTTTTTGGCATAATTATAGTACTGAGCCTGTCCCATTTGTGTGAAAAAATTAGACCTGATGGCTTTGTGATTGGTATAGTGGGGTTCCCTGATTTTCAAAAGAATGATTTCAAGAGCATTTTAGTGAAATGAAATGCCTCATTAAATATGACAAAAAAATAAAAATCACCAACAAAGCAAAATAAAATATTCTCACTCTGATAAGCAAGTGTACATTGTGAAGTTATAGGGTGGGACCTGGTGGTCTTCAGGGCCATTCATTTTTTATTATGTTATCCTTATCAAGACAAAGACTAAAACGACTATGTATTTCTATGGTGCTTGTAACATGGGAGTGACAAATGATTAAGTTAAATACAGTTAAAGTTAATTGTAAAAATGACATTGGCCTGCAAAAGTTTTCCTAACTTACTCAACATGGAAGAATTTCTGACTGAGATCTAATGTATTAGAGGAATTCTCTGGTAATGCTGTCAGTGGTGGAAAGAAGGGTGTGTGCCTGATGGAAATAATATATGAATAATATATGAATTTCTAGAGGATTATCATTGGGCATGTCTCTTAAGATAAATCAGAGGAGAGATTGATCCCTTAAGATGAATATGGAATTTGAGAAAAACTCTCATTTTTGCTGATGTATTGCAATATAAATATATTCTGCTTTGATGACAAGACCATTAGCATTTGGAAATCCCAAGAAAAATGTTAAAATTATATCATTTGCTATTAAAGAAAATCAAAACATTCATGAAAATTTATTCTTAAACAAGCACAAAAACTTCAGGGAAATTGGAAATTAATACTTTCAAAATTATTTTCAGTTGCACAAAATGTGTTACAAATGGAGAAGCATCGTGTGCAGCTGGAGGACGTGATTCTGGAGGTTACAGCCAATCCAGTTCCACTCAACCCAGGAGTCAGATTCCAGGTAACACAGTAATTTAAAGCTTTGAGGAATTCTGTTGAACACGGGCTCTTTTCTCATCCATATTTCCAAACATGAAACCGTTTCCCAGGTTCATGTAGAAGTTTCTAAAATGAAGATCAATGTTACTGAAATTCCTGATGAGTTGCCTGAAGATCAGATGAGAGACAAACTAGAGCTGAGCTTTTGCAAGTCCCGACTTGGAGGTGGAGAGGTGGAAAGTGTGGACTATGACAAGCGATCCGGAAGTGCCGTCATCACATTTGTGGAAGCTGGAGGTACTTGCCCACTGAGAAGTTTAGTACTCTGTCATTTAACTCTTTTCTGCCATTTCTGAAAGTATTCCTATTCTACTTCCTTTACTTCTAATGATCATGATAATTGGGGATTTTACTTCACCTTATAAAAGGGTAGAGTCTAGAAAATAACTTTTTTGACTACTACTGAGAAGGCTAATGTTGCTACARATAACACTCCCATGATCCTTAAACCATAAGGTCACCATCAGACACGGCACTGTGTGTATATTGTACACTGACACTCTATCTATTATCTCTTCTGATTCTCACACGACTCTGGAAGTAGATGATATATTTATTTTACTGACGAGGAAACAGGCCTAAAAAGATAAGTAACTTACTTACTAAAGTGTAAGTGTAATCTCTCTTCAACCAGTAACTTAGGAGGCGAGATAGAGGGATCACAAGTTTGAGGCCAGCCTCAGCAACTTAGTAAAGTTTTAAGCAACTTAGTAAGACCCTGTCTCAAAATGAAAAATGAAAAGGGCTGGGGATGTAGCTCAGCGTAAAGCACCTCTGGGTTCAATCCCTAGCATCCCAAAATGAAACAAAACCAAAACCAAACCCTCAAAAAACCCAACTCTGACTTTCATCTCACATATTATTACTGACAAAGGTCTTATAGGTAGAGGAAATCTATTCCAGGAGAGATGAGCTAGACATTTGTTCTTTTTTTCTGGTAGAATGGAGTTTTACTAGCTGGATGTGGTGGTGCATGCCTGTAATCCCAGCAACTCAGGAAGCTAAGGCAGGAGGATTGCAAGTTTGAGGCCAGTCTGGGCAACTTAGGGAGACCCTGTCTCAAAATAAAAAATAAAAAAGGTCTTCAATGTWGCTCAGTGCTTATGGTAGAGTGCTTTGCTTAGCATGTCTGGGGCCCTGGGTTTAATACCCAGAATCTCTCTCTTTCTCTCTCTCTCTCTCACATGCACACACATAAAAGAAAAAGGGAAAAAATGGACTTTTATCAGATCATATTAGGAAGGTTTACATACTTACAAATGAAAAGATTCTACAGTTGTTTTTTTAAAATATGTTCAAGTGATTCTCTATGTAAAATACTCAAAATACTCTTGTTCTTGTTAGTGAAATACTTGGGCTTCTCTTGGGTTTATATGTATAGTAAAAATCCAACTATATAATTAAAAAACATGGATTATATTTTTTCATACCAATGTAATAAGTACTTCTTAAAAAATTGAAATACTGCTGCTTTGAAAGCATAAATTTAGTAAAAAGTGAAGCATTTCCTCTGGACCTTTGGACAAAATTTAGAGCTTTTTTTTTTTTTGTGTGTGTGTGTGTGTGGTGTGTGTGGTACTGGGGGTTGAACCTAGGGGTGCTCTATCATTGAAGTGCATCCTGTACATTTTATTTTTAATTTGCAGACAGGGTTTTACTAAGGTACCCAGGCTGGCCTTGAACTTGTGCTCCTTCTGCCTCAGCCTCCTGAATAGATAGGATTACAGACAAGTGCCATTGTGCCCATTTGCAGGTGTTTTATAGTTAAATAGAGACACAAATGGAAGAGGTCTTAGAAATGGATCATAACTTGGTAGAAATTTCAATAGTTAAGGACCCAGATTTTAATTTTCCAAGTTCTTATGTTCAATTTCTCTGCTTGATGTTAGTGGTCCATGTCTTGTATTAAAAAAATCAACAAGAGACTTATCTGTGCATTAGAATATAATTAAATACTTTATAGTGGGTGCTAATATGAGCTTGAGAATCTGAGCTCATGTCCTTTCTGGGAATATCCAAGGGGTTATGTCTGGCTGAAAGGAGATAAAAATATTGAACCTTATAAAAAGTAACTTCTGAAGGATATAAAAGTATCTGAAGGTGAATATTTCAAGTAATTCAGAACTCTGGTTTTACAAAATCATCACGACAATTTATGAGATGGATAATATAATTATACCCATTTTGCAGAAAAGAAAACCGAAATGTCAAGAAGTAAGCAAAAAAATCCCATTGTTAATAAGTACCAGAGTCAAAACTGAAGCAAGTCTATTTGATGTAGGGCCTGAACTTGTTAAAAATTGTTTTTAAATGGTGATTAAAATATACATAATATGAAATTTATCACTCTAACCATTTAAAGTATATAATTTAGTGACATCAAGTACCTTCAGAATGTTGTACAACTATCACCACTATCCATTTCCATCATCTCATACTGAAAGTCTATCCCCATTAAACAAGATCTCCCTCTTACATTCTCTTTTAGCTCCTAGTTAATAAGGGCAATGACTAGAGTCTCATTGTGGGGATCTTCTTCCTGCCCAGGAGGGTGTAAGACACCTGAACACTTAAAGTCTCAAATAATTAGTGAAGAACAAAACACAAATAGTCAGAAATATATTTACAAAAAGCAGAGCCCCTGATAGATCTAGTCCACATGGGTGCTGGCATTAGACAAAGGAAAGATGGCTCCAGTGGTTTATTTAAGAGGGTACATCAAAGTCAGGGATAAGGTTTCAAGGACAAAGTCTTGCTTTGTGATGTCTTRCAGTCAGCAGGTTGATTGGCAGGTCACACCCATCTCAGGTGCTGGGTGGGTCAGGGCAGAGTGGGATAGAAATTCTCACTGTCCCTGGGCAATTGACCAGAGAAAATGTCCACTGGTCATTCCCAGACACCAGATATTTCTATCCTCTAGGCTTCCATGCGTGGTGACCCACATGCAACCCATGGGTGGCTCATGACACCTGGTGACCACAATTCTAATTTCTTCTCTATGAGCATGCCTTTTCTGAATAAGTGGAATCGTAATACATTGTTAGTCTTTTCGTGTCTGATTTAGTTCACTTAGTACAGCTTTATCTGTATTGTATTATAGTCAGAATTTCATTATTTAAAGCTGAATAACATTCTGTTATGCCTGTGTGTGTGTGTGTGTGTGTGTGTGTGTGTGTGTATCTAGCACATTCATCTGTTGCTTTTACCTTTTGGCTGTTGTGAATAATGCTTCTGTGAATATTGGTGGGCAAATATCTATTCAATCCCTGCTTTCATTTTTTTTTGGATATATAATTGTGAGAGGAATTGCTGGATCATATGGCAAGTCTATTTAACATTGGAGGAATTGCCATACTGTTTTCCACACTGCCTGTACCATTTTACGTTCCTTCATACAGTGCTTCAGGGTGCCAACTTCACATCCTCACCAAGAAGACCTGTACTTCTAACCATTGTACCTTATTGCTGACCCAAGGTGGACTTATGAGAGGATTTTTTTAAAAAAAATAGTTAAATATTCTCAAGGATTGTTTCTGTTAAACCTAATCCAGTTTTGACATATGACTTTTCTCTACTCTAGGGAAAAATGCTGCTAAAAAAATCAGACTGTCCTTTCTATCATTTGTGTTGGAGAAAACTGATGAATTTTTGTTATTTGTCTTCCTTTAGTACCCTCCTTCTCCACATTATTTCAGTTTCCTGAATAAGCTATACTGGGATGACCAAATAATTTACTATATATATGTATAATGTAAAATAAATTTATAACTTACTGTATATTTATGGTGTTCTAATCATAGTTTTCATTTGTACTTATTTTTTTTTTTTTGATACCAGGGGTGGTTAACAACTGAGCCATATCCCCAGCCCTTTTTAATTTTTTATCTTGAGACAGGGTCTCACTAAGTTGCTGAGGGTCTTGCTGAATTGCTGAGATGGCCTCAAACTTTTGATCCTCTTGCCTCAGCCTCCCTAGACACTGAGATTGCAGGCATGTGCCACCATGCCCAGCTCACTTATTCTTCTTGAGAAACAGAAACCCTCCAGTCTTGTTAGGATGAGTGCAGATGACTATTGTATTTTTTTTTTTTCTTTTATGGTACCAGGGATTGAACCCAGGGGTTCTTTACTACTTAACTATATCCCCAGCCCTTTTTAAATTTTGAAACAGGGTCTTGTTAAGTTGATGATTGTCTTCAAACTTGCCATGATCTGGCTTCTACCTCCTGTGGGATCATAGACATATGCCACTGTGCCCAACATGACTATAGTTTCTTATGTAACTCAGTGTCCATCTGAGAACAATCAGCCCTCTGTGCATTGATGGACTGTAGGGGATAGTTTAAGGCAGAAGGAACTATTTAAAATTATGTACTGTGAAGTCTCCTTGTGGGTGGTAACATTTCTTAGAAATTAATCACTCAATTCACTATTCACAGTGATATTATTTTGTAGGAAGGAAGTTTTAAGTTTGATTAAAAATGTTTATGATATTAAAAAAAAACCTTTTTGCTTACTTTCAGTTGTTGACAAGATATTGAAAAAGAAAGAATATCCTCTTTACATAAATCAAAGCTGCCATAGAGTTGTTGTTTCTCCATACATAGAAAGACATGTGAAAAAGTATCAGGTAAAGTTATCTTTTTTTGTTTGTTGGTTTGTTTTTTGAGATGAGAGTCTCACTAGGTTTCCCAGGCTTCCCTCTTGAGCAGCTGGGCTTACAGTTCAAAAAGTCATCTTTTCTTTCATTTTGAGAACTTACTGTACAAACCTACCCTCCCTCCCCACCACAGAGAGACACACACAGAAAAGAAAAAAAAAATTGTGTCTGTTACTATTTGAATTTTATCAGTGAGGATTTCAAAATAGTATTTTCATTTTTTTCTTGGCTCAGAATGAGTCTGACTTTTTAAAGAATATTTTAATATAAATCAGTGCCTTATTTTACTTTATTTATTTTTAAATGAAAATTACTCACATAATAACAAAACATCTTTATTTTATTTTTTTT